CGACAAGGTTTTGTCATCAACAGGTACTATGTCGAAACATTGTACATTTGCTGTTATGTTAAACTTATATTAAAGTTTTTCTTCATTACCCATTCAAGCCGTCTCCAGTCATTATTAGTCTCAAAGTGGGTTCCTCGTCATCGAATTTTAATGTTATTATTATTATGTAGTTTGTGTTGGCCCTCTAGAGGCAATATATGAAAGCACAAAACACGGACGTAAATGAATTTGCCAAACTTGTACAGTATCACGATCAAATCTTGAATAAGCTTACAATATATGTATTTTAATTAATTATGATACCAAAATCAAGACTTGAAATAAATTTTTGTAGGTTACTTTCACAATGTGAAGAGCTTGCTGGGCAACGCAAACAAAATGATTGGAGGCTGGAAAAGGTTTGAAAATATTCTTATAATTATGCCGTACTTGTTTATTGACGACATAACTGTAATGCTCATAGTAAATACTATTACTAATAATACTAGATACTTTCCAACTATTTGTACTAGTACTACCTTGTTGGATTAATTTACCACACAAGAGTAGCAGTTAGGTTCTTTACGTTTTTCATTACTGATCCTAAATTGTTAGGCTAGACCTTGAAAGACCTTATTATAACATTTAATTTTTACTACCTTTTCTGTACCTATTTAAACGAAACATAAACTTTTTCTCTTTGGACTGCCCTCTCTCGGTATAGGCCTATAACTCCAATTATAAGATACAGCGCCAAGTTGGTTTAATAAATGAAATAGAATTGAAAGTATAAGAAATAACTGTACCTCAAATATATAATTTGCAAGTGAATGTGATGTTTGACAATATGTATAAGCAGTAAAGAATATTTATAGTTACTAATAATTAATTTATAAGTAATTTTACAAAAAGTAAATAAAAGTCTGCACAAAAAAAACATTGATGATTCATGAAATCACTTTTATTATACTTATGGATTTGAATTATGTCAAATTTTTTATCACAACAGTTTTTAAATGAACTTTCTCTGAATTTATTATATCACTATTAGCATAGAAAACGATTCAATTTAATAATGCAAATGTAGCATGAATCTTTGCCATGTCATATATGTATATGATATTCAGATACAGATCATATATAATTACCATTTTCTGCTATCATATTATTAATCAAAGAATTTGTCCGACTAACAAATTGATCAAGATCATTCAGTAATATCTCAATACTGCTACAGTTTAATGTCATCAGTTTAATGTAAATTATGTCCCTATTAATATCATTAATGTAAAAAGAAAAAAAGTAAAGGCCCATGCACTGACCCTGAGGCAGTCTACTACTACTAGCAATAAGGGTCCAATTTAACTGGTCTTTTTCCCAAGTCCTACTACTGTGATTTTTGTATCTAATTTCTGTGTGGCATCTAATTAATAAGTACACCAAACCTACACCCATGCCTTTATTTGTCCAGATAATAAGTAATACCCTTCAGAAAAAGATAACAGATTAGTAAGTCAAGACTTCCCTTTGCTGAATCCGTGCTGACTTTCATACTAAATTAAATGATTTTGTAAAATCTCTTTTATAAGCCTCTGTATCTTTTTCTCATACAGCAGTAACAGTAACTGACAAGTTATTTCTGAGACAACTCTTATCACCTCTCCTTAAAAAAACAAGAATAACATAAGCAACTGTTCAATCCTCAGGTGTTTTCCCGCTCTTTACTGATCTACAAACAAATGTGCTAACATATCTGACCTTTGACCTCCCTTAAAATCCTTTGCTAATATTTGCTTGGACCCATTGACTTGTCTTCTTTTAATCTCTCAATCTTTCCACCAAGGGATTAATATCTACATAGATTGGTCTAATTACAATATTTTTCGTAAAATGCTGAGGGTCAGAAATATTGTATAATCATCGTGAGATAGGTTCAGTAAACATGCAGCCACAGCAAAAAACCCATTATGTCCGGTCCTATATTCTAAAGACATTGTCAATGTGCTAATTTAAGCTCAAGCCTGAAATATCTATTTCTCTTCTTCTTTACATTAAACTTGTTACATGGACTTGTAATAAAATGTACAACAATGTTTTTTAGTGTATCGACTGTCTTTTTTACATTGGTAATTAATGGTATTATCGTCTTAGACTATAAATTTCATTCTGTTGAAATAACTACTGCAGAAAATTGTTCACACACCCCGTTTTGAATGTACAGTACCTTAACTTAATATGTTAGAGATAAATAAGCTAAGCTCAGATAAACTTAGATAAATAAGCTAAGCTCAGATAACAATACACAGAGAAAAGTGTTTCTAAAAACATTTACTGCTCATTTATATAGAGTTTACCATAATATTGATTATTTTTTCAGTATGTGAAAGCATTAGAAGAAAAACTGATGGAGTTGAAGAAACTGAATACTTGGTAAGGAAAAATGTATGTTTTCCTTGTGGAGTATGTCTACAACATATGTGTAATTATTATACATTCTCAGAACAAGTATCTAGGTGATTATAGGCTGCTTAGTCTTATTTTGTTGTCATGGTTTTAAACATTTTTCTTGCTGGAATTGTATGGATGATGATGCATGTCTTGACTTCCAGACAATCTGTAATAAGGTGCTGCAGTGAATAGTTTAGTGAATGAAACAGCTTAGATAGACCAACAGATCCCTTGTTGTAATAGGGTGTAATAGGGTGCTGCAGTGTATAGTTTAGTGAATGAAACAGCTTAGATAGACCAACAGATCCCTTGTTGTAATAGGGTGCTGTAATAGGGTGTAATAGGGTGCTGCAGTGAATAGTTTAGTGAATGGAACAGCTTAGATAGACCAACAGATCCCTTGTTGTAATAGGGTGCTGTAATAGGGTGTAATAGGGTGCTGCAGTGAATAGTTTAGTGAATGGAACAGCTTAGAC